TTTCATCCCACAGCCCAAAGACGAGACACGGGGAAGGGAAGGCAAGTTTGTTTATGTAGCACGTTGTCATACACAGAGGTCACTCAAAGTGTCTCACAGACGCAATACGAACAGACGCAAGTTAATAGACAACAATATAAAAGTGAAATCCGAGCAATGAAAGTGCAACATCCAAGATCATTAAAAATGCAAATTTCATAAACATTAATTAAAAGCTTTAGGAAATAAGAGTTTTCAGCTTATGATTAAAGTTTGGTTGTTGTTGGGCCATGTAATAATCAAGGAAGCAAGGATGCAGAAAGACAAAAACCTTGGCAGATTCTGTGGGCCCAACCCAAAATAAACCGTCAGCCCCCCCTTCCCCTCCCCACCACTCTGCCACATCACCCGAGGGACCCCCATGCCTTGTGAAATTTACTGGAGAACCCTAGCAGGGGGCCCAAGGTGACATTTTGGCAGATTTTCGGGCTGCACTGCTGCATGGAAGACATACAGTTAGTTTAATTTTTGTCTCTAAACTACCCATGGATTGTGCCCAGCGAGAGACCGGCATCCCGGCCAGAGTGTCCCCTGCCTAATGCCCCGTGAAACCCCATAGGAAGGCCGGTTATGTAAAACCTTTATATACTAACAAAAATCAAGGAACAGTACGTAACAGATGTTTACGGTTAAATAACACAGACCAGCAATTACCAGTGTACTGAAGAACTGGCCGAACACGTACAGGCTGATTTTCCACTTCCATGGAAACAATAAAGAATTCAGCTCAGCGACACAGTCATTTCTCATCTTTCTTGCCTCCTGCATGTCAGAGGTATACCAAATCAGGAGCAATTTAAATGTCTCTTTTATAATAGAAGCAGGGTTCCCCTAGTGGGAGGGGGGGGGGGTCCTTCAGGGGCCCAGACACTAGTGACTAGGGAAATAGAACGATCCACTCATCAGTCCCCTCCCTGTCAGCAAATTTAATTGTGAGCACCTCCTCACCCCCAGTCAAATTTTACCGTCACGGTTAGACCAGAACTGAAATATCAGTATCGGAATCGATAACAGCAATATCAGCCTTGATATTGGATCACATTGGATTGGATGAAAATCAGTGGCATTGGTACCAGCTGCAGGAAATGATTGTGGTGGCCATCAGGGGCCAGTTATGTTTATAGGGGTGGACATGCTACAACGTGTCTTTTGTGGCTCCACTTAAGAAAAAAAAAAAATCACATTTTGTGTTTATTATTTTGATTTTGGGTGGCAACAGGGGTGGCCACATACTGTATGTACTAGGTCACCTCTGATCACCCCTGAGATCCACCCCTGAGTGGTATCGCCCATCCCTAATATAAAGTGCTACTCCAAAGAGTTGCGGTTGTGGAGATCCTAATCTATGTTCTCTCGTTTGTGCTCGCTCTCTCTCTCTCTCTCTCTCTTTCCCTGCTCTTTATATAGAAACGGCACTGTTTGCATAACCCCCCCCCCCCATCGCGCACACGGACCGTTAGCCGCTTCTCCTTCCATCCCGATAATCTCTTCCACTGCGCCGATGGACGCTTCATGATGACAGTAGGATTACATGGGCCCGTTAGGCGTAATTGCAGTGGGTCGTCCGGCTGTTTATTTTCCTATTTCACCCTCGTCTTCACACGCAAATGAGCACAACCGGGCCCCCGGCATATATTGGATATGACATAAAAGTCACACGTCGAAGCGTTTATTTCCCGTCGCTCAGTTACGCACTACGTTCGGAAAATTCAGCGTCATGTGCTTAACGCATATTTTTATTTTAGCTTTTTATTGCTCGCTGATCACATAACAGGCTCCAGGAGCTTTTAGGTTAAACGATTCAATTGCTTTTGAAGTGCAAGGGCGGGCATATGTCATACACTGTTCGCCGGTTCCTGACAGACAAAAGAAATCAAATGTTAATTCTTTTATGCTCGCGATTTCCTCACGAAAGACCGTTTTCTGGTTCAGAGTCTTTCCTTTCAAGTTGGCGATTTGCTTTCAGACGTGCGTGCCATGTAATCTGGGTTTTGGGAGATTCTCACCTGGAAAATGCAGAATACAGAACATATGTATTTCCCCTGTGGATAAACAGCAGGGAGCTACGGGTGAGACAGATTCTATGCTAAATCCTAACTGTAAGAGGGCGCAGGCAATTTCTGGACGCGTGGTGACTGCAGCTCTGTAGGTAGCACTGTAGCTCTGCACCGCCAAGTTTTGGGTTCAAGTCGCACCCCTAGTTCTATATGTGCCTAGCTTTCATTCTCCCCCCCCCATTTTTGCACAGGTGTATTTATACACACATATTTTATATCACAGTTAACATTTTTGCAACTATTAATTCCTTGATACTTTTCAATTTATGCAAACAAAAAATATTTTTTTGATAGTTTTAATCATGATTACTTACTTTAGTCTATAATTTCAGTCACTACACTTTTTGTTGTCATCTGTGCTGCAACAGAAAATGGTGTCATGGATCTATCAGTCATTTTTCCATGACCAATTAGCATGCCAATGACCCACAGCCTGTACTGAGGAAATGGGGAATATATTAACTGGTATTTATTAAATACCCATTACTTCAGTTTTTCTTTAATTTAGGAAACAAACTTAAGTACGCAGTTTAATAATTCATCAAATACCAAAGGAAGCTCAGTGTCTCTGGACACATTTTACATTAATAAGCAGGCTATTAGCCATGACCACAAAAAGGAGATTGATGCCAGGCAAAGAAATGATTAAAACTCCCGTTTACTGATGGGAATAGCTGATGCTTGTTTTGGTTTTGCAACAGCAAACAATAGCATTTTCAAACAACAGGCATCTAATTAATCCCCATCAGCGGCAAGAAAATGTCGGGCTCTCCTGTGGGTGAGCATTTTTAAAAGGGGATTGGGGTAATATGGGAGCGTCACTGCAGCGGACATTGTCGCAGAATGGAGAAGGGGTCAGTCTGTGCATATGCTCTGATTTCACTGGTTCAGCTCCTAAGAGACCAGTATGTAACTGGTATGTAAGGCCTGTGTGTTCATGAAGGGTGGTTTTGTGTCTGTTATGATAGTAAAAATAATAAGACAGTTGACCCTACCACATCATGGTGGTTAGGGGCACAGCCCCCCACCCCCCCACGATCTGGGAAAACCATATACTGTACAATTTTTTTGTCCCCTTGGCAAGTAAAGTGAGCATCTGAGTGGAGCCAAGGAAAGCGAAAAGAAACACAACATAGAAAGATCACTGATAGAACACGCAAACTCCACATACTGTACACAGAGCCAGGGCAGAGATTCCAGTCCAGTCCAGAGAATTCCAGTCCCAGAGTTGCAAGGCAACAGTGCTAACTAATGCACCACCGATAATAGTAATTATAATGATAATGATGATGCAGCATTTTATTTACATTTCAAGAACCCAGTAATGCTTACAATAGGCGAGAAAATGCAACGCACAATGAGCCGGTACTATATACAAGGACATAAACAAATAAAGAAGTTATTTCTAAGTTCCCAGAGACCTTGTAGGAAAATTCTTTATTACTGATGAAATGGCACTAGCATCTGAAATCTTTGTGTGTATTTATGTGTGTGTGTGTATGTATATATATATGTATATATACAGTATATATATATATATATATAGCAATATATATATATATATAATGCCTGTGTAAATCAGAACTAACATGGTTCATATCAGTGTGCAAAATTTCATAATATTCCTGTTATACTGTGTATTGTGATGTTCTGATACTAATCTTTGTAAGCCACTTCCCTTCTTGCAGTAAATCTGCATCACTGAAGGGCTTGTGTACCACAAGGCTAGCTGTTTACTAGTGGATACGGTTTTTCTCTGAAACCATTCAGAATGTAGCTCGATGAGCATCACTGCACTGACCATAAGGTTCCTGGACGCATTCCTGGCCTCGAGCCTCAGGACCAGAGCCAGTCCCTCCTTGTGTTAGTACCGGGGGTAACAGTTTTTATAGTTCAGGTCACCTGGCAGCTCTATCCTTGTTGCTGTGTGTAAGCACCCCCTCCCAAAAAATGACCTGGCGTCCAGGTAGCCTTGCCAAGGCCTGTTCCTGTTTTTTTGACCCTTCCTTGGGTAGGGGGTAGACTATGGCTCAGCGGTATGCAAGGACCAAACATTTTTAGAAACGCTAGCAACCAGAAATTATGGTTTATATTGCATGTCATACTCTTAATTGAACTTTGCATTGTTTCCAGTAAAAAACTTGCCGCTTTGATAAAGTACTCCAGGTTAAACAATACCAGTGCTCAGTATACTTTAGTGAGATAATGAAGGTGAATTTGCAATTTTACTTGAGTTCATATGGCATTCACTTAATCCCTTTATATTATAAAACCGTTGTTGGGGCAGCTACTGTACTTATGTAGATTTAATAATTTTTTTTAAATTTGTTGTTATTATCTAATATATGATCTGATACTGGGATTAACAATCAGGCCTGGGTCTTACACAGGTGTCAACGAGGTCTTACAAGACATTTGAAATATAAAATACTATTGCCATATATAATGGTGTCTCAGAGAATGTGACTGAGCGTAATCCATTGGAAGTCAAGTTTCCCTACATGGTTGCAGATTTTGTGGAGAGTAACTGTATTTTGACGAGGCCTGTGGGATTTTAGCAGAAAAACAATGCATGACAAAGCACTGGAAGAGTCTTATCAAGTTCACTGCGAGGCATGGTCATGTCTCCGTGAAGCGTGCAGTATTGTGGAAATGACTGCACAGCCAAGCCCTGTATAGTCTCCACGCAGCACTAAAATGGGCAGGGGGCCGTGAAGCGCAAAGATGAGCTCAGCAGAAATAACAAGCAAAAAAACCCCAATACAGCCTGAAGCGTCGTCAGACGGCTTGATTTATCGCTCTAATTCAATTCGCAATCCTTGACTCTGTTTTGTAATAAGCAGCAAACATTGGTTTTTCTAAAAAAAAAAAAAAAAAATTAAAATAATACATCTTCTTTTCTAGGGCATAATTTCATGAGCGAAGGAGAATACATTGAGATCACAGCAATCACCAAAGACCAGTCTGGAGTGTATGAATGCAGCGCCAACAATGACATCTCCACCCCTGATGTACGGACCTTGCAAGTCACCGTCAATTGTGAGTACGCCGATTGTCTGCGCCGCATAAAGCCGGCAGCTTGGGAGGCTTTGGGGCTTTTGTACAACCACACTACTGCAAACGCCAACTGCACATTCTGCGTTTTTACTCCATTATTAAGCCGTATTGCGAGTCTTGCACGAGCAGAATACGTATGCCCGTGTACCGCTGGCTTTTGTTAAATGCTCAAGGGTACGCGGTCCTCCTCTGAGCTCCCTCTCTGTGCCACATAGATCCCCCCTACATCTCGACCGCCAGGAGCACCGGAACGCCGCTTGGGCAGAGGGGCACGCTGCAGTGCGAGGCCTCAGCAGTTCCCGTGGCTAATTTCGAGTGGTACAAAGAAGACCGCAGGCAAGTTAAGGTCCATTACGGCACAGGCAGAGGGCTGGGATCTCCAGGGGATCTAAGAATCTCACTGCATAAGACGTGGCTGATCTGGACACCCGTCCTCCTGACACAGACATTGTTCTTCTTGTTTAGATCTTCATTTTTCTCATTTGAAACCAAGCCATTGCTTTTTAAAATGACATGACCCTAAAAGTGGAAATAGATTACTAACTTGGAAAAAAACATCCACAAATACTGTGTGTGTGTGTGTGTGTGTGTGTGTGTGTACAGGCCTGTACTCGTATGTTTGCGGGGACTGTCCATTCATTTCTATGGCCAGAACCCTAATCCCAGCAATAACAACCTTAACCCCAACCCAGCCCTACCATTAACCATAAGAAACCAAACAAAATACTGGTCTTTTGACATTTTTGGTTTTTTGATTGCAGTCACAGATTTTTTAAATAATGGCTCCACAACCTCAGAATAACTGGTTTTTATCACATTGTGGGGACATTTGGTACCCACAATGTAATGTTTATCTGACCCACACACACACACACAATGGGGCTGAGGTATGCACATCAAGACACTGTGGACAATTCTATGCTTCCAACTTTGTAGAAAGACTTTGGGGAAGGCCCTTCTCTGTTCCAGCATGACTGTGCCCCAGTGCACAAAGCAGGGTTCATAAAGACACGGTTGGATGAGTTTGGTGTGGAAGAACTTGACTGGCCCACACAGAGCCCTGACCTCACCTTTTGGATGAACTAGAATGGAGATTGCTAGCCAGGACTTAACCTTCAACATCAGTGCCTGACCTGACAAATGCTCTTCTGGATGAATGGGCAAAAATTCCCACAGACACATTCTGAAATCTTGTGGAAAGCCTTCCCAGAAGAGTGGCGGCTGTTATTGCTGCACAGGGGCACCAACTTAGTATTGTTGCCTATGGATTTAGGATGGGGTGTCATAAAAGTTCCTGTAGGTGTAAAGACCAGGTGTCCCAAAACTTTTGCCATATAGTGTATATAATGTATATACAGTATATAGTATATACACTATATGTATAATGTCGGATACTGCAATGTACTCTCATTTAGTAATGTAATGTAGTTTAAGTTAAACATTTACTTTATTGCATTTACTTTATTTATCAGACACTTTCTAGAGATATCTTAAGATCAAAAATAATATTTATTTCATTATGGAATAAAAGAGATTAGTTGGATATTTATATCATTTGTATAATAAATTGTTTATGCTATGCAAGATAGCTGACAAAAATCCAACAGAGTGCAAAAATGTTGCTTTATAACTTATCATAAACCATCATTATGGAAGGAGAAACATGAAAAAACAGCAAAGGTACATCAATAACATTGATTACCTCCTCCCATGCTCCACAGATTAAATATGAGCTGTGGCTGTTAGGCTTGTGCTCTGGTAACCTATGCAGTGCCTCCAGTAAGACATCTGCTGCTTTACCTTTTGGCAATTTGTTCCTGTAAAATACTCCCATATGGAAAGGCAATGGCTCACTATTATAATAGATAGAATTAAACCCATTAAATGGCAGAAGCAACATTCACACACTATTTAGTTGGCTATCAACTCTGCTTTTGGATAGCTGGATACTTTTTTTATTTAAATGAATAATATTAAAATGAATGGATAGTATTTACAAATGTCCCTCTTTAATTTAGTAATGTCACACATTTGACAGTGACTCAGTTGAAAATGTGCTTAGTAGCAGCTGTTGACAAAGCGAAGAGTGGCATACAACAGCTGATAGTTCCTGCAGTGCATACACTGAGAGCAATTAGGTTTGGAAAGAATGGACCAGCTCGGAAAATGGGTAGGTTAAAAACAGGCACTTTGAGTCTTCACTGACATCTTGTATTTAATGATTTTAATCATGCCTAAACCAATATACGTCCTTTGATACACACACTGTGAGATTTAATAAAACAATATGCAATTAAAGCACAACTGTCTTTTTCAAAAGTGACTCAATTAAGAATGTTAATTGGGTACAAAATGTTTTTAGCATAAGTTACACAATGCTGAGAAATGACTATAATGAATAAATAAAATAATTTCCGTAGGCTAAAATGACAAATTACAGTTAATGTGTCCCAGCTTCCATCTTTCTGCCATTCAGATGTTCCTTTCTGAAGACCAAGACTCTTAAAAACTCTGTAGTCTTCTATAAGGACATTAGTCCCAATATGACTGTAGCAAGGAAGTAATTTTACATGACAAATTTAATATAGTTCAATTAACAATAGCAACCCTTGTTGAATACTCACAAATGACTGTTTTTACAGGCTCTTCAATGGACTTAATGGGGTTAAAATCGAAAACAAGGGTAGACAATCCATGCTTATCTTTTTCAACGTTTCTGAAGAGGATTACGGGAACTACACCTGCGTGGCAATGAACACCATGGGAATCACAAATGCGAGCATAATTTTGTATGGTGAGTCCAGCTGTTTATATATAGTTAATGTTCTGTATTTCACTTATAGTATGAGGATGTAATGTGTTTAAATCTGCAGTGCAACTCCAGAGAGAACTTAGGAGTAACTTATATTTTTAATATGAAATATGCAAACCATACGTCACTTTATGATCAAATAATAGCTCTGTAGTTCCCATATCACACTATGGACCAACCACCATATCATCGGCTTCTAGCCAAACATTTTAATAATAGTGGCTTAGGAATGAAAAATATTTTATTGAAATTGTTGAATTGAGTTTTATCATTTATATTACATTAAACACGTAAAAGTTTACTTGTCATAAATTATGAGATTTCCTGGTAGTTAGCTGCCTAAACTTAGCTGTATGGAACCTAACATTCTAGTGAATAGAAATGCATGAAATAAAAATCATGGAATCACAAGCTCATTCGTACATGAAATTCATTGTTGTTACTTGTTGATACTCCTACTGTAGTATTTCTGACCAACGTTGTTGTCTTTAAGAACAATGTAATGCTATTTTCAGAATTGACCGGTAGCTGCAGCGTGTGTAATAATACTGGTAAAAACGGTTGGTGTGCATTAGCTACTGTAAGACGACTGGTACGTTCATGTCAGTGTGGCTCATTGACATGCGCTAGGAGATGGAGCCGTTGGGTTTGCAGAGCCCAGCTGTTGCTTGTAATTTTCTAAGTGCTGCAGGTAAAAAAAAAATGTGCTAACAAAGTGATGAAAAGGGTCAAAAACAGAATTAGCACAACAATGCCAGTTACTGTCGGAGCAGATTGGAAAGGTGAAAGTGTGACAGTGGTGTTATGGATGGATGCTAAACAGTAACAGCTATGCAGCTAGGATCACAGTGACGGTCACAGTATCCCAGGGACCACAGGGCGTGGAACCACCTGGAAGAGACTCTGAGTCACCAGTTCACCAGATCTGTATGATTGTGATTGGGAGATTGAGATTTTAAACCACCTAGAGGAAATTTAGGCAGACTCAGGGAGTTCACACAGACATGCAAGCCCACATAGACTAGGGGTCAAATGTAACCCCGGAACCCTGGGCAGAGGTGAATAGTTCAGGTCCGGAAAGTAAAAATCCAGACCAAGATTTTGTTTCAACAAATTAATCGAGTACTCTATGACCGTGACTCTTTATACTCAACTAGTTTGCTTGGTCTGGATTTTTACTTTCTGGTTCTGAACCATCCCCCTCTGCCCAGGGTTGACCAAGGGCAATAGTACTACTCTGTGATGTCCTGTTCATTTTATGAATATTTCCATCGTAAAAGCATGTATTCAGCAAGCTGGTCGTTGTGGCATAACACAAGTAAGTATGAAAGCCTGTTTGAAGACTCCAATCATGCACTACAGAGCCATTTTGTAATGCAGAAATAAATGAAGCCAGTCCCTGTCATAGGCAAACAATGGTACTGGAAAAGGGGGGGGGGGATTTGATGTCATGTCAAAGTACTATTCAGCATTCAGTAACCCCCTTGCGAATTATAACTGCTGATAATTTGTACAGTCAATCAGAAACGTTTCCCTTGACACAGTTAGGAGAAACCCATTAAAAGTTTGTTTTCATATAAAAGCGCTTTACGTGGTTATAAAATACATTTTAACGGAACATTTAGATGTGGGAACATAACATTCAGGTTATGTTAAAAGCTAAGCATAGACACATGCAACACATTCATTCAGATATTATCTAAACATACGTCACATGTTATATATTTATATGTTTCACCAAGGATCTTAGCATGGTTCGTGGCCTTAATGTTAATTACTTTCTTTCCAGGCCCAGGGGCTGTGCATGATGTGAACAGGGCACCTCTATCTCTACAGAACTCGTTCTGCCTTCTCTTGACTGTGATTTCGTGGTTCCTTTTCAAGTTTTGATGCAACAGTGGTAACCCTTCAGTCACCTCCTGAATTGCAGTACAACAGACTTTAATCCCATATGAATAAATGAAAATCACCAACACAGATGGCTCACGTTTTTTTAGAATTGAATTGGCGGTGTTTTTTTCCATTCTTTCTTTGTTTTCGGGGTGGGGGGGGGCGCTAGTGGCAGGAAGTGAGTACATAGGGTTATACTAGTATTGCAAAGTGTGTGTCTCTCCAACCTTTTATATGTAAAAAAAAAGGAAAACAAAAATATTGTAACGGCTAACGATTTAATGGTTTTGCTCATTATTAAGGTATACATTTGGATCACTGGTGTGTCCTGTCCTGTTTTATTCTGTACAATAACATAAGCTTTTAAGTAACCAACAAAATAGTATTTTCTGTGCTGAGTATGGAAACTGCAATGTTTTATTGTTGAATTACTGTATTTTTGACAGTGGTATGCGACGGATCAATAACAGCGTAATATAAATGATGTCAACCTTACCATACTATATTGTACTATCATTCCTTAAACAGAAAAAACAGTATTTCATGGTATGTACATATAAATGAAGTTCACACAGAAAAGCAAAAAATAAATAATAAATTCTTCTAGATGATTCCCAGACCATTACAGAACTTTTCCTTGTCTGGATTTCATGTGTAAAAAAAAAAAAAAAAATAGACCCAGATCTTACCCTCAAATCTGTTTCAGTGTATGCCACAGGACTAGTTGATGTAGTGAATATAAAAACACAGTATATTTTTAAGTTATGTGATTTATCGATACATATATAATCAATAAAAAGCCAAACTACTTCAGAACTAGAAATAGAATCATCAGGGATGATTTTTTTTGTTTTGAGTACTTAAAAGTGAGAGCACAAACAAAAAAAACAAGACATAAAGAGGTATCGGGATAAGAAAATAATACTGTGTTAAAAAGAATTATTTGTCCGTTTTTGTCCTTTGACCCTCTACACTAACAGTTGCCTGTTACTCCTCTTGGGTTGGCTTGTCATTCAGTATTACTGGTAAAAAAAAAAAATACTACTGTAAGGAATAAAATGAAAGTAAATATGTCTGGAATGTCCAGTGCAGTCTTATAGTTGATTATTGTATGTTAATATTTTGCATATTCATATACAGTAAAGTCAGCTAGAGGTGCAGTGACAGTGTATTTGATTTCCGTGTTGCTGCCAGTAGCTGTGACAATTTTGTCATGTTCCGTTGCCTTGGCAACCATGTCAGCCGCTTTTAGCTTCCGCACGGAGGAAGGCTAGGAGTGGTATGGCGTCAAAAAGACGTACTCCTCTGTATTTTTGTCACTGGCCAAATGATTGACAGGCTGAAATGGGTGGGGGGGTCTGGGGTGTTACTCTAGTATGCTTCTAGCAATACATCTCCTCTAGGTACTATACGTACCGTACTTTGAAAGGGGAAGCTGCAACTTTTGAGAACTGTCATTTCTATAAAAGCGAATAGGAGACATCCCACGCCACGGCTGTCACCGTACAAAGCCTTACCAGAATACAATCAACACCCTCCCGAAAAAAAAAAAAAACAGAACCACACACCTATGAAAGGAAGACAGGACCATTTCAAGGATTATAGAGGTTGAAGTTGAGCCTTCTGTCAAGGGATTGTGTCCTTCTAGATAAATGCTGACAACAGTCGCAAAGAGTGATAGGTTGAGATGCTGGGCCAGAGTTCTTCACAATAGAATATAGATGTCTGCTTGCAGAAAAATAAAACAAATTCAAAACATTATGCACCTTCCATAAGTAATACGTTCAGTTCCACCCAAGAAGAACATTGAATGGAAGATGACATCTCTTTTATTTTTCGGATTGTGTGCTTGAGCTTACAATAAGAAAATAAACATGCTGACGTGGAGAGAACATCAAATTAATTTTGTTTAAAGATGCATGAAAAGATGTCTTTTCAGTTGTTCAATTGCTATTTGTGTGGTTAAGCAAAATTCTCTACGCAAATTTCAAGGTTTCCTGCATAAAATACAATCTATTGTTTAATACTGTGTTTATATTTTCCAGTCAGAATTCATCTGTGACTAAAAGTGAATATATCTGGAATACAGCAATTTTGCAGTACATGCAGCTAGAATATAGCAACGCGGCAATTATAACGGCCCCGGGTAAGCCTCTGTATATGAAGAGTGGCTTTACATTTGGCCAGGAGAACCCTTGAGACAATACCTTGGTTATTGCAGCCGTGTTCTACCACTTTGCAGGAATCAATGAAGTACATTGTGCCGCAGGTCCTTTCTTCTCCAGGACGCTCAGCATGCCTGTGGTTCATTGCTCCGCTCGCTCATTTAAAGCAAGGGTGTAGAAAATTTATATTTCTATTTACTGGAGCAACAAATATGAGCACAGGCTGGTCAGAAAGTGCAACCTTTAGTGTGCAATGACCAGAGTAAAAATGGTTTTAAATATAGAAATAAGAGAACTGCGATATTGTATGTAAAGCTTGAATACCAGCCCTTATGAACCCACTTAAAAGGTATAAAGTTGGTATTACAGCCGGACATCCAGACACCATTGTGATGTGATTATCGCTTACATGTCTATACTCAGTATTAAAATATATCCCAGTGGCTCTCTGTTGATCCACACTGTGATCCAGGGACATTAGAACGACATGACTTACCTTTAACCGAAACGTTACCGGTATTACGGTACTGAACACCTGAAAGAGACAATATTACACTGCATAATAACGTTTTCAATGTGTCACCCAGCATTTTTTTGCACTTATATGTACAGCTGCACAGCACATGTATGTTAATCATTTCCGTGATATCCCTTGTGCCTCGTGTTCATCTAACACAAATAGACCACTACATATGAAGGTTATGGCCAATGTAGTATAATTACACAGTTAACAATTCATATACAGCTCAATTCATAACTGGTACAAAATAATTTTAAACAGATAATTTTTTATATTGAAATGTTAAAAATTTATTTTCCAAAAACATTTTTTTTCTTTTGAAGTACTGAGGAAATTATGTGTGTGTATGTATGTATGTATTAATATATTTTCGTATAAATTAAAATGTCTGTTGTACTGTTCACTTTTATTTTGCTTACAGTTTTTTCCTATCATAATCAGTGTAGACGTATTATCTCAAAAACTGATAAACTATTTAACAACATTTTAAAATGTCACTTTCAATGAGTAAACTCAAACACAATACTATTAAATGTGATTTTGTGTGAAGTGTACTTGGCATATTTCATAATACAACACTGTAAATTCATATTCCATTTATATTTAGCGGATGTTAATTATGACACGTCTGACCAGTGTTTGTATCTTGGCAACAAAAATGTGAGGAACCCTCTGAGGTATCTTCAACACTGCCAGACTAAAATGCTTTATTTAAGAAATATGTATCCAGTCCATGGAATTGCAAAGAGAATATCCTGTTCTCTTGGAGGAATGCCTTGACTTAAGACCAATTTGTTTAACTGCTGATATATCTGTATATGAACTGACCGTCTGTGTTTATTGATTCTGTTTATTTTATTTCTATTCTGGTAAGGCTGTGTAGAGCATTTAAAACAAATAATGTGTAGATGTTCCATGACTGTTCTTGGTAATGGCCAAAATAAGCAAACAGTACTAACGTATTTGTGCATGTTAAGGCATAGTTGTATCTTTTCTATTTGAGAATGAGTAAGAGATGATTGTAACCGTGCAGTGTAATAAAGTTTAATGATATTTTTTTTCTAAACAATAATCTGTTTTTTACATTGTGATAGCATCTTTATTTTCAGTTGCCAAAAGGAAAGTTGTGGTGCCCAGCTAAGTGAACCCTAACAGGAAGCTTAAGCATCGATTTATATCTACGTATTATTAACTTCCTATTAGCTTTCACTTCCTTAGCTAAAACTAAACCTAACCTAAGGGTCTTTCCTGCTGTAGGTGTGTTGTAGTTGTTTAATAATACCGCCACGTAACCTTCAGTCAAAGCAATAGCTGCTTTCACTTGTTGGCGTCATTCAATACTGAGCAAATTCATTCTGAAACACATGTCTGAGCTGTTGGTGGGATCAAAGTACAGATTGAGGGCTGCATATGTAACGTGTGCCAACTTTAGAGAGAGCAGACCGACATGGACAGACACCTCTATCCATCCCAAATGCTTTTTACATCTTCTTTAAAGCACATATTTTACAGCAATGCTAAATGCTGTTTCACCATCTTCAAATCACTTCTGGAATAAAAACATAACATTTTTAATTAACTATGTTAATTTTTTTATGCAAGCAAAGTAAGCCATCTAAAAAAGTCACTGATACTTTAACCATGAAATGGAAATGTTTGCTATGAACGATTTTTTTCCCCCCACTGCATGTAATGAAATGCGTTATCTAATACATTGTAAGGTCCTGTTTACGTCGAGGTTATGTGCAACATTCATAGCTTGGCATTTACTTTATTTGTATTAAAACACATAAGAAAGCCTGTGGGATATGAAAACACAGCTTTTTGTATAGAGCGTATAACCTGGTTTTATCGTAGCTAGGAGTAAAACATTTCTGTGATGTACAATAGCTGTAAAGGGGACATTCTCCTTTCCTCGCTTTGACCTTCGGGATACGTCTCAGTGAGTGACTAAGCCATATGCTCCCACCCACAAACGACCAACACAACACTACCTCACATTTACGACCGCAACGACAGTCAGATAGAGAACGTCAGGGAACAGCCACACCTTTTACCTCCCAGCCTCAAGACAAGGCTCAGCTAGTCAGCGGCACTCCGTGAATTACCTTATTGGTACCGGGAGGAAACTTCACCTCTCTCTGACATCTAGCCTGCTGACTAATTAGCTCAACTTTGTGCTCTGGGTACCGAGCAATTGAGGAAATACAACTGTGCAGATGACTCCTATACACGTATTAGCTTCCAGGGATGGTAGCAATCGTTCGAAGTGAGACCTCCTGTAATGCCTCAGCAAATGGGTTCAGCAAAATCTAAAATAACCAGCCTTGCTCCTGTGGGACTTTCTCTGAGAGAAGGATGGACTGGTTATGCTGAACAAGCATAATTTGCTATAACCGTCCACAAAACTAGCACTGCATGTAGGATCTCAACTGGATTTTTTTGTGACTAATCAATCAGTTTTGACATGAACCCTTGGTGTAACAAATTCTTGGCAGAGTCAGTTTTGTACCCACGCCATTAGTGAAATTCATACAATTGCAACCTTTCCATGAAAGATACAAAAATGGTATGCCTGACAACTCTCATTTATTTTGGGTTTCTAAATTTTTTTATTATTATAGCTACACACCAAAGAGTATTTAGCTATTATATTTGTTTTTCCTGTGACTGGCAGAGTGTCACTGTTGGATTTCTGAGCATGACCCTTAACCCCAAATGCTCCATTGGCATAGGATACTGGCTGAGTCTGCCCTCTGACCCCAAAACCTCTCATAACTCTCACCTGTATAATGTGTCTTTATGTCTCACAGAAAGTAAGATGGGATATGCAAAAACTACCCAGTGTACACAAGGGGTGAATAAAGCATCATAAATATGCATCAAAATTTATATAATTTCGTAAAATTTATTTGGCTGGTCCCACTTACATCCTGTAAATTTCCCACATGACACACAAGTTAAATACTTTTATACAGTTTTCAGCACAATGTGAATCACTATCCTGTGAGTCTTCTGCAAATGTTCTCCACAAACGATACATGCATGTACAGTATTGTGAGTTTGCATAGGAGTGTATATATAAACCTAACATTTGTGTATTTTCTATTGTGCATGATAACAGATGAACTGAGAAAGGCAAAATTATTAGCTGTTTTCCGCACCCTCGTGAACAGTGAGCTTCCCACAAGCATGATGTTCCAAAACGGTGATCCTGTGGAGGTAGATAAAGTACTCTACATGGACTACGATGAAATGAAACAAACAAGACGTGCATGAGGGGTGTTTCTTTTGGGGGGGGGGGGGGGGTCCTCTGTTTCATGCTGATTCATAAGGCATCTAAGACACAAAGGGTCTCGGGTCCTTGGTCTGTCCCCTTCGTCCTTAGATAAAGGTGATGAGGCGCGTGTGCAAAGAAAGAGGAATCTGCCGTAATTAATCATACTTCTGTTTTCCGTCCAAGCAGTCTCTCCCTCTGGCATGTTTCTGTCCAAATATTTTTCGCTATTGTTAAAATGAAGTACAGCTAATGCTTAAAATAAATGGTACACTTTTCCATGATACAACACAAGGAGTATGGCTTGCTAAAAGTCTCTCATTGAAGTACAGTATGAGTGTCAATGTTTACACCCAGTAAATACACCCAGTAAAGATAGATTACTCCACTTGCAATATTTGCCTCACACGTTTATACAATGTTTACGTTTTTCAAGTAAACTGCAAATTTCTCAGACGATGACTGTACCTCAGAGAAATATTAAGCAGTTCCAATGCTGTGATTATTAAGCTTGATAATGTAATTTGCATGACTTTATGAGCATGAGCTTCTCTGTGTTTTATATGTCTCCATGTAGTGAGTAAGCTTGAAACGGTAGGAGAATGTTCCAACTAATTTTTTAAAAGGAAGAATGACCAATAAAGACACTAATTAATCTCTACAAGTTGTCAGTGCTCAATGCAAAATCTTGAGGCTGAGCTGAGCATTTAATGGCATCTAATTAGGCGTCAAAACTCACATTGCGGGAAGCTGCAGGCCTCTGTCTTCTTGGACAATGCCATACCTTCATCTGGCTCTGTGCAGATGGTGCCCCATTCCTACTGTGAGCCTTGGTCTTTAAGCAGCTCAAGCTCCAGCCTCAGAGGTGACGTAGAGGTGGTTCATCTGAAGGACTCCAATATTTTGAGCCACACATTTAAACGGTGATGATGAAGTTTTTCCTTTCCTTTTTAGCTTTCCTAAAACAATAAAGGACCGCTAGAAATATATCTGAAGACAAAACAGGTCTGAATAGTTACCCTTAGCTGGTTTTAAGCATGCTCGATACAATTATGGCTGTATTATAAAAGTCTTAGAAAGGTGTTTTATGGGTTTGTTGTTGCTAATTGTGCCAAAGATCATCCTGAATTTGGTGTGAAATTTGTTATAGAAGTTGCATGGCAAGTATTTTGTAATTAAGAATATGCATAGTAGATGTTGTGTAATATTTATGCTGGTCGGCATGAGAGCCTTTTCTAGGAACATTTGCATGTTATTCTACCAAGCTATGTAAACAAACCAGAAAGATTTCAAGCACTCTGTGCCATTATCCTAACTAGCAGTCTATGGAAGCTTCACAATTTCTACTTAATTCTTATTTCATCTGTACTTGTTCCCCTGTAAATGATACATATAATTCCCTTGTATTGTAAAGGTCATTAGACTAACTTTGCAGGGACATTATATATTAATGCTATTGTAAACCACAAAGGCCCTGATTCCAATAACAACACTATGCAGCTAAATGACTCTATAAACATTAGCCTTGTTAGCCAACTGGAGATATCAGAAACAATATCAAAGCTAATTAAATAAAAGCCATTAACTAACTATTCCTTTGTTTACATTATGAACTTAAGATCTCATATACATAAAGTTGTGGTTAAATAATCATTCCTGAGCAGACAGCTCAATTACAAATTTAATTACGAACTGAATTAGCAGTAATATAACTACTAAATCAGATGGATGACAAACGTTTATTTCATTATAAAAAAATGTCATACTTGTTAACATTCAGTTTATTCTGCATGTTGACAAGTATCAAAACAGTAGGCCTATATGATATCTGTTATTATTTTGTTTCCTGTTACTTAACTATGTTTCTCAAAACTCACTTGTGGTTGTCAATCGCCCTGTTAGATGTATTATTCCAGGATCGGCTGAACTTTTTTAAAGAGAATACAGCCATTGTCTGCATAAATAAAATATTTCTGGGTAGATAACAGAGGCAGTAGGGAAGCAGATGATCCATTGTAGGTCATTTTTATAGGCCACAGCAGATTTTACATGAATGCAAGATGAACTTGACAGTTGCCATAATGTTCACACCAAACTCATCTCTTGCACAACACAGTTCTTCATTGATCAGAGAAGTAATGCATAATGACCCAGAGAGCAGCTGTTCCTCATATAAAAACTCCCATCGTTCGGAACATTATTCATAAAAAGAGAGATGCATAAGTAATCCAGAAGTCAAGGTCAAGTGGAACATGGACATTGTTAGGATAACCCCTCCGGTATAGAGTTGTCAGAAACTCAAGCCCATTTAATTCAGCATTGCAAAAGTAATTCATGCACGATCTGTGAGGTAGGGCCGATAATTACATGAACTGGTAATTTCATACATTGCAATTAAAAGCCGATGTCAAATCATTCCGAGGTGACGGAGAGATCCGCTGCGCTCGCGGTCCCCTCCGAAGCCGCAGAATGTGACAGAAGTGAATTACGGCTATAATTTTCTGAGGTATGGCACCACGCTCTCGTCTCCAGACGGGACGAAAATAGCCATTAGACGCTGGCTGCTTCTGAATTGGACGGCCGGCAGGGATCAAAACAGCGAGGCAGAACAAAATACCGCGGACAATGCCGGTGCATCGCGGTCGCCATGGAAGCGGCCTGCTCACCCAGGGCCGATAGACAGAGGGTGGGGGCAAACTCTATCACGGAGGGGGCTCCTATTGCATCAGACGCTTGCCGAGCGGTCGTACGCCACGTGGGTTCCCGAGCAGGTCGC